TTTGCTGGTGATTCTTTTTTTGTTTTGTTTTAAGGCAGGGTATCACTATGTGGCCCTAGTGGTCCAGGAACTCACTTTGTAGTCCAAGCTGGCCTTAAACTACTTCCTAAGAGCTGGTATTAAAGGACTGTGTCATCATTCCTGGCTAAATTATTTTTTATTCATTTATTTATTTTGGTTTAAATAAATACATATTTTTAAATATGATGGAGAACTACGGAAAACACCTGATGTCAACCACTGACCTGCACATTCACATACACTCACCCCCATACATGTGTGTTCACACATTTGCACACATACACACACACACACACACACACACACCCCAACCAACAAGAAAAATTAATCCAGCACCTAAACTTAAAGAAAACACAGAGGAAATCTCCTTGACGCTGGGTTTGACAATGATGTCTTATATGTAACGGAGGTGATAAAAAGGAATTACAAAACAAAGTGTACATTTCTATGTACCAGGGGCTGGAGAGATGGCTTAAGAGCACTGACTGCTCTTCCAGAGGACCCGGGTTCGATTCCCAGTACCCCCATATGGCAGCTCACAACTGTCTGTAACTCCAGTTCCAGGGGATCAGGGAACCCTCACACAGACATACACACAGACAAAACACCAATGCATATAAAATACAAAATAAATTTGAAAAAAAAAATTCTATGTACCAAAGGAAGGGGCATTACTAGAGTAAAATGGCAATCTGTAGCCTGGGAGAAAACATGAAGATTGCATATCTGATAAGGATTTAATATCTGTAACATAAGGAATCCCCACAACACAACAACGCAAACAAAAACAGGGCAATTAAACTGAGTGCTGTTAGCCAGGCAGGACAGCACATCCTGTGCTCCCAGCACTCAGGAGGGCCAGCCTGGTCTACACAGTTAACAAAGCGAGTTCTAGGCTCTGTCTCAAAAATATAAAACAAAAACACTCAGGATGGGCACAGTGGGACATGCCTTTAATCCCAGTACTTGGGAGGCAGAAGCTGGCAGAACTCTAAGTTTTAGAACAGCCAAAGTTACACGATGAGACCCTGTCTCAAAATAAATAAATAAAAATTTAAAAGCACCAACAAAAAAAAAAAAAGCAAAACCCAAACCAACAAGACTGAAGGCCAGATGTGGTGGCTCAAGCCTGGATCCTAGCATTTCGGAGGCTGAGACACGAGGGTCACAAGTGACTGGACAGCAGATGACACAGTCACTTCCAGGCTAACCTGGGTTATAGAGTGGGGCCTTGTTTCTTTTCTTCCTTTCTTTCTTTTTCTCTATCTCTCTTTTTTTCTTGTCTTTTTTTTGGGGGGGCAGGGTTTCTCTGTGTAGCCTTGGCTATCCTAGAACTATGTAGACCAGGCTGGCCTCAGAGATCCCCTCCCTAGTGTATGCATGGGGAGGGAGAGCTAAAGGTATGAGCTACCATCCCAGGTGACCTTGTTTCAACAAACAAACGAAATCACTAAAAAAACAACAAAAGAACAAATAGCAAGGAACTTGAACTTACATTTCTCCAAAGACATATAGATGGCTAATAAACAGATGAAAAGTTGCTCAAGCCTGGAGTGGTGGTATACATCTTTAATTCCAGCACTCGGGAGGCAGAGGCAGGGGGATCTCTGAACTCAAAGTCAGCCTGGTCTACATAGCGAGTTGCAGGACAGCCAGGGCTACACAGAGAAACCCCCGTCTCAAAAAACCAAAGACAATGAAAATCAAGACCAGAACAAAAACTGTCTCCCATCCATTAAGACCACTACTAAAACAAACAAAAACAAGCAACCAATCAACCGACAACAAAGATACCACAAAAAAACAAAAACAAAGTAAAAAGACAACAGGGGCTGGAGAGAAGCAAAACAGTCGAGTGCTTGCTCTCTTGCAGAGGACACGAGTCCCATTTCCTACAACATCAAGCAGCTCACAACCACCTGTGACTGGATGTGTCTGACTCCCTCTTCTGGCCCGCGAGACACCTGCAAGCAGACTCACAGACACACACACAAACATACACACAAATAAAACTCAGTCTTTGGGAAACAAACAAACAACAACAACAAAACAGGGATGACAAATGTTGACAAGAAAGTAAGAACCTGGGTCCGTGTAAAATGGTATACCCACCATGTAAACCAGCAGAGCAGTTCCGCAAAAAGTTAAGAACAGAATTACCAAATGATGCAGTGGATTCAAAGCTACATAAGCAAGTTTGAGGCTGGCCTAGATGCTGTCAGAAAAGAACGGAATTAAAGGGCTGGAGAGAGGGCTCACTGGTTAGGAGCACTGGCTGCTCTTCCAGACGATCCAGGTTTGGTTCTTAGCACCTACATGTAACTTGAGTTCTAGGGGATCTGAAGCCCTCTTTTGGCCTCTGCTGGCACCACAAAAGCAAGACGTACAGGCAGGCAAAACATCCATAGGCATAAAATAAAAATTTTTAAAAATTAAGCTGGGCGGTGGTGGCACACACCTTTAATCCCAGCACTTGCAAGGCAGAGGCAGGTGGATCTCTGTGAGTTCCAGACCAGCCTGGTCTACAGAGTGAGTTCCAGGACAGTCAGGACTGTTACACAGAGAAACTCTGTCTGGGGGGTGGAGGTGGGGAATCACTGGGGGCTGGTGAGTTGGCTCAGTGGGATAAAGGCACTTGCTATGCAGGAGAAAACCAAGTGTCCAAAGTTGTCCTCTGACCTCCACATTGTGCTCTGCTGCAATTACACCCCCCCCACACAAACATCAGGTATACATACATACACAATAATAAAGAAAATAAGTTGTTTCCTTTTAAAGGAATAATGATTGGATAAAGGCTTTCTCTCACAAGTTTATGACTTCTTCATGAGTGCAGTCTGTAGCCAACAACTGGTCAATATCAAGACACAAAAGTCTGGGTCCGTTGCCTTTGGAAGACCACCCTAGTCCTAGAGCCTGCTGTGGGGCTGGCCTCTTTAACCACCCTAAATAGTTCTAATTTGCTCATTGCTGTTTTTTCTAAGAACCTCTCCAGTAACTGCCTTTCAGGTAAATCTCTACTCAAAGTTTGTTTCCTGAGGACACAACCAAAGAGAATGACTATCGATAAATTTCATCACTTTAAGAGTAACTCAGAGTTGTAATTCTAACATTTCCCTCCTTCTGTTTAGTACCTGATTCTCAGCCGGTCATTTTCTGAGTAGAGTCGTAAAACATGTTCCCGTTCCTGGAAGAGGCAGACTTGCATGTCACTCAGGGCTTTCTGCAATTCAGCAATCTCTTCCTCCCTCTGCTGCAAATTCCATTCAAGTTTATGCTGCAAAAAAACCAACAGAGTAGTTAAAAACGTATTAGGTTCAAAGGAAACTTCTCAGTGATACGGAGGAGTCAGTTCATGGAGGAATATTCCTAACTGACGGCTTCACCGATACGGAATCCAAGGGGCGGCACTGGGGTGTGCACACAGCCGAGCTAAAAGCAAAAGGATAGCCGGGCGGTGGTGGTGCACACCTTTAATCCCAGCACTTGGGAGGCAGAGGCAGGCGGATCTCTGTGAGTTCGAGGCCAGCCTGGTCTCCAAAGTGAGTTCCAGGAAAGGCGCAAAGCTACACAGAGAAACCCTGTCTCGAAAAACCAAAACTCAAAAATCAAAAGGATGAGATGGAGGCGTAGCCCGGTGGTAGAGCACCTGGTAAGCAGCCATGAAGCCCTAGGTTCAATATTTAGCACTAAAGGAAAGGAAGGAGGAAGGGCAGGAGGGAGAGAGGGAGAGACAAAGCTACAGGATTAGTGTGATTAGAAAGTCCACACATTAACAACAAAGCCTGTAAGCCTTCCGTTCACACACAGCAGCACCAAGAATGCCCTATGTCTCACCTGTTCTGTGTGTGTGTGTGTGTGTGTGTGTGTGTGTGTGCGCGTGCGTGCGTGCGTGCGTGCGTGCGCGTGTGCATGCAGGTACATGTGTAACCCAGAAGTTGACTCTGGGTGTCTTCCTCCATCGAATCTCCAACTTATCACCTGAGACAGGGGCTCTCACCACCCTGAGAGTGCAGCAATTCAGTAAGGCTTGCTCAGCCAGCTCCAGGACTCTGTTTCCAGTACAGGGATCCTCTCCTTCTTTTCTTTACCTGTCCTTCGCAAGCTTCTCTGTAGAGGTCTAACTTCTTCAACAGGTCCTCATTTTCTGCCTCACAGGTAGCCATCTTCTTCTGATAATACTCCAGGAGCTCCTGAGAAGGGCAAAGGACGGCCAGCCGATCCTGGGTTGAAGGCAAGGGAGTTGACTCCACCGAGTCCGCCATAGTCTTCCACCTGTTGGGATCACTGAAGCCCGAGGCAGCACCGCGTTTGGAAGCAAAGGTTATTCTATGTGAAATCAGAAAGCATATGTTCAATCCGCTTGTAATACCACACTTGTAAGACATAATTTTTTAAAATAAAAGGGTTTTTTTTTTTTTGTTGTTGTTGTTGTTCATTTGTTTTTCAAGACAGAGTTTCTCTGTGATGCTTTGGCACCTTTCCTGGAAATAAAAGGGTCTTTTTTTTTTTTTTTTTTTTTTTTTTTTTGATACAGTGTCTTACTATGTAGCTCTGGCTGGCCTAGAACTGGCTATGTAGACTAGGGTGGAATTGAACTCACCAAGATCTACTTGTCTCTGCCTCCCAAGTGCTGGGATTACAGGGATGAACCACCACATACAGTGAGTTTATGCTCTTAACGTGCTTATAATTAAAGCACTCATATGCACTGAAAGTTTGATTCAGGGCTGGAGAGATGGCTCAGAGGTTAAGAACACTGATTGCCCTTCCAGAGGTCCTGAGTTCAATTCCCAGCAACCACATGGTGTCTTACAACCATCTGTAATGAGATCTGGTGCCCTCTTCTGGTCTGCAAGGACACATGCAGGCAGAACAATATATACATTAAAAAAAAGAAAAAAGAAAAAGAAAGTTTGATTCAAGCCAGGCAGTGGTGGCACACGCCTTTAATCCCAGCACTCGGGAGGCAGAGGCAGGTGGATCTCTGTGAGTTCGAGGCCAGACTGGTCTACAGCGCGAGATCCAGGAAAGGCACAAAGCTACACAGAGAAACCCTGTCTCGAAAAACAAAAACAAACAAACAAACAAAAAATACAAAATAAATAAATACAATAATGAATGCCCATTAGAAAATCTAGTATAAGAGAGATACATAGCAACAGGAACAACATCAGATCCTAATCTCTAGCTTCTGAAACTGAACTGCATATCATATGGGACGATGACATAAACAGTAAATGTATCCCAGTACTCAGGAGGTGGAGGAAGGAGGGTCAGAAATTCAAGCTCCTCCTTGGCTACATTGAGTTCCAGGCCAGCCTAGAGTACAGAAGACCCTGTGTCCAAAATGGGGGCCATGGGAGAGAAAAGGGAATGACTGAACTAGACAAAAACAAACAAACAAACAAAAAATAGCTTCTTCGTTCTTAATAATCAAGACTTAAGCTAGCACAGTAAAGCTAGAAAACAAATAGTGAGCTGGGTGTGGTGGTGCACACCTTTATTCCACACGCAGAGGCAGGTATATCTCTGAGTTCCAGGCTAACCTAGTCAATGGAGCAAGTTCTAGGCAAGCCAGGGCTACCTAATGTGACTCTCTCTAAAAAGAAAACCAAAAACCAAGCACCTCTCCATAAAAAGAACCAAGCAAACAAACAATAGTTAATTAAAATAAAAGTAACTGTGTAGAAGTCCTCCTATGAAAACCAATCTAGTTTGGCATTTAAAATATACAATATATGGGGCTGGAGAGATGGCTCAGCAGTTAAGAGCACTGGCTGCTTTTCCAGAGGACCCAGGTTCAATTCCCAGTACCCACATGGCAGCTCACGATCATCTGTAACTCCAGTTCCAGGGGATCTAACACCTTGTGCAAAAGGTGCACAGACACAAATGTAGGCAAAATATCTATACACATAAAAAAGTGTAACAAAACAAAATAGACATCAGAGTGCAGAAACTTTGCACAAGACAGCCAGAGTTAGAGCTAATGAATGTGGACAATACACAAGTTCATTTGTAAGTAAGCAAGTGCAATAAACTATCAGCTGGGGTGTAGCTCAGCAGTAGAGTATGTGACCAATTGCTAGTTTAAATCCTCAACACACACACACACACACACACACACACACACACACACACACACACACACTTTACAACTAGCATGAAGAAATAAGCCTGATACTTCCTCAAATATTGGAAGCCTTTAGGGGCTGGACCTATAGCTCAGCAGCAGCACAAGCTTGGCATACACAATGCCAACACCCCAGCGCACACATCCCTAGCATCCTACACAAAAGCTCCTATCAGAAATACTATTTTCTTTTCAAAGACTGGGAAAGAGGCTAATAAAATCTGAGCAACTTGGGCTGGAGAGACAGTTCAGCAGTTGGGAGAACTGGCTGCTCTTCCACAGGACCCAGGTTCAATTCCCAGTACCTACATGGCAGCTCACAACTGTTTGTAACTTCAGTTTCAAAGGATCTGACACCCTCACACATATATGCAAGCAAAACACCAATGCACATAAAATAAAAATAAATTAATCATTAAAGAATTAAAACAACTCCAGCCAAGCACTCGGCCAAGATCCTGGAATTCAGCAGAAGAGGGAGGGGGGATTATAAGAGCAAGGGGGTTCAGAATCATGATGGGAAAAACCACAGGAATAGCTGATCCAAGCTAGTGGGAGCTCATGGGCTCTGGACTGACAGCTGGGGAACCTGCATGGGACCGAACTAGGCCCTCTGAACGTGGGTGAAAGTTGCATGGCTTGATGTGTTTGTGGGTCCCCTGGCAGTGGGACCAGGACTTATCCTGGGTACATGAACTGGCTTTTTAGAGCCCATTCCCTATGGTGCGATGCCTTACTCAGCCTTGATGCAGTGGAGAGGGGCTAGGTCTGGCTCCACCTTAGTATGCCAGCCTGTGTTGACTACTAAGGGAGGCCTTATCCTCTATGAGGAGGGGGTGGGGGTGGGCTGAGGGTAGGTGGGGGGTAGCAGGAGAAGAGGAGGGAGGGGGAACAGGGGTTGGTATGTAAAAGGAGAGAAAAAAATGTTTAAATAAAAAAAATTATTTAAAAAAATAGAACAACTCTTACATTCTACAGATGGAGGGGAGCTGTGGTTGTGAGGAATGAGCACTATATAGCAACTCTATCTCATGTTTATATATTGGTTGCTCCCTATGACCCAAGATCTACCATCACTGTGGCTCCTCCATTCACACTGAATGAGTACTAGCATTCCTACAGAGAAGCCATATTTTGTCTTGTTTTGGTAGCTCTTGCTATCCTGGAACTCAATATGCTGACCAGGCTGGCCTCAAACTCAAAGAGATTCACTGTCCTCTGCCTCCTGGGATTAAAGGTCTGTGCCACCACCACTGGCAAACTATTTTAAACTCTAGATTCTGAATAAGAATAGAGAACTGAGATTTCGAAAGTATGCTGTCCCTGGAGCATATACATCCCTATACTGACTGGATGAAACCTATAGAAGTATTGATTAATTAACTTAAAAATAAGCAAATATCTTACTTTCTGCAGACAGGTGTGTGTGTCGGAGTAAAGTTCATCCTGTCTTATTTGCACCTATCAAATACACAAAATTGATAATGAGGGCCAGGAAGAGTTTAAAAAATATATATTTATATTATATATTTGCATTATATTTATATAGTCTATATATATAGGCTATACATCTTGGTTCCCTCTCAACATTACCACATTTGACTCCTGAAGGGAATGTAGCATTTAGACCAACATTGGGTATCTTAACCGTTTCTCCAATTTGTAATTAAAGGAAAACAAAACAAAACCCAAAACTTTTTTCAAATATTTTTGTTTTTTAAGTTTATTTTTCTTTTATGTGCATTGGTGTTTTGCCATGGGTGTTGGATCCCCTGGAATTGGAATTACAGATGGTTGTGAGCTGCCATGTGGGTGCTGAGAAATGGACCCAGGTCCTCTGGAAGAGCAGTCAAGTGCTCTTAACCACTGAGCCATCTCTCCAGCCCCCAAAACTTTTTAAGATTTATCTCATTTTTATGTGTGAGTGTATTTCTGCATGTGTGTATGTATGTATGTATGTATGTATGTGCAACATGTGGGTGCTTGGTGCCCGAAGAGGTCAGAAAAGGGTGTCACATACCCTGGAAATGGAGTTATGGACAGTTGTAAGCCACCATATAGGTGCTGGGAATCAAACTGTGGTCTTCTCAAGAGCAACAAGTGATCCTTTTCTCAGAAAAGCACATTCCCCAATCCTTCCCTCCGCCTCCTTCTCTCTCACTTCCTCACGCTCGACCAGCACTGGGGTTACTGTCGTGAGCAGCTGTGCAAGGCTGGGGTGCTGAAGACCCAACCCCTGGGCTTCACACTTGAGGCAGGCACTTTGCCGACTGGGCTGTCTCTAACCCTCGTGGGGGGTTTGTTTGTTTTCATTTTATTGGTTTGGGGAAGGATCTAGCTATGTAGCCCAGGCTGGTGTGGAACTCATTGTGTCATCCCGACTGGCCTGCACTATTACCCGTGCTCCTGCCTGAAACTTCCCGGGTGCTGAGGTAATAGGTGGGTGCCACTATACACTCGGTATCGTTGAAGATTTATTTATTTTTACTTGTGTGTGTGTATTCACATGAATGTGGGTGCCTAAAGTGACCAGAAGAGAGTGCTGGGTCCCCTAGAGCTTGACCACTTAATATGGGTTCTGGGAACCAAACACAGGTCCTCTACAAAAGTAACAGCCAGGCAGTGGTGGCGCACGCCTTTAATCCCAACACTCGGGAGGCAGAGCCAGGCGGATCTCGGTGAGTTTAAGGTCAGCTTGGTCTAAAGAGAGAGTTCCAGGACAGCCAGGGCTTCACAGAGAGAAAGCCTGTCTCAAAACAAACAAACAAACAAAAAAAGTAACAAACACTCTTAACCACTGAACTATCCCTCCAGCTTTGCTGCTGCTTCTTCTTTTTTTTTTTTTTTTTCAAGACAAGGTTTCAGCTATAATTCAGCTCCTTCCACAACTAGTTAAAGTCACTTAATCAAGACTATTCTGTATGTAAAATTTATCTTAAATACTATTCCCTTTATCTCTTCCCTGAGTTTTTTCCATTCAAAATGATCTAACAGGTCAATTGTTGTGGCTTGTGTCAGTAAAACCTAGCTGAAGGGAGATCACCCAAAATTGAGGGCAGCCTAGGGTACAGAGTTAAGTTCCAGGCAAGCCTGGGATACAGAACGAGGCCTTGTCTCAAATAAACAACAAAAAACCCACAAAATGATCTATCAGAGTGATCCAGCCATTGTACTTCCAGCACTTAGAAGGCCCTGACAGGATTACTGCCATGAGACCAGTTAATACATAGTGAATTCCAAGCCCATGGGCTGCAGAGTAAGATTCCCGTCTCAAAAAGCAAAAACAAACAAATAAAAACCAAAAACAAATGTTTTCACTGGAAAGTGATTGTATTTACAGTTCTACAATGATAACCGGTCTTCCCGGCAGACAGAAGCCATCTTGACACTACCTTCCAAGGCAGGGATGCCTCTGTTTATATAAAAGTTAGTGGGGTGGTGGCGCACGCCCTTAATCCCAACACTCGGGAGGCAGAGCCAGGCGGATCTCTGTGAGTTCCAGGCCAGCTTGGTCCACAGAGCGAGATCCAGAACAGTCAGGGCCTATACAGAAACCCCGTCTCAAAAAACAAAACAAAACAAAAACCAAAAAAAAGTTAGTGGGTTTCTTTTTTGGAGGTGTAGAGGCCGAACTCAAGGCCACGGACATGCTAAGCAAACACTCCACATATTGGCCACAACCCCGTTCCAAAAAATGTGGTATTTACTCGCATAACTACTTTCTGAACTACTTTTATTAAACCTTATTTTACAAATGAGGAAATCGTAGTTTACAGAGCGGAGGGAGGCGAAGCCGGAACTCCATCCAACTCCCTGACGTCTGGATCCGGTTCTCTAGCAAGTTCACCCAGTTCCTGACCAGATTTTAGCTACCTCATTTATTACAGCTCTTCGCGTCCCGGAGACCTCTCCTTTTGCAGACAAACTTTCCATGATTGGTCCCCAAGTCACCTAAAGACCTAGGTTTAGTCTTTTGTTGCTCCCTTCTGCACGGATAATGAAAGCTTTTTTCCCCCACCAGATTTTCTTTCTTCCCAACGTCTGTCCTAAAACCCCTTCATCTTTACCCCGAAATGCACACTCACCAAGCGCTAAACCTGGGAATCCGACAATGCAACCGAAAAAACAACTCAAATCGTCGAGCGTCCACAAAATCCTACCAATCGCTCACGAGCTTAGGCGGCCTTTTGGCTTACCCACCAATAGGACGGTTGTTCACCCCGCAGCCCTTCCCATCTTGCCTTGCGCCTCACCAGGCAGAGGTTCCTGGGAAGTGTAGTTTTTTCTTCTGCACATAGCGTTACGCGTAGGCAGGATGTGTGTGGGGGCGGGTAAGTAGCTCTTGCCTGTTAGAACTCACCGGTTTTGACAACTTGGTCTAAACTCACTGAACTGTTTTTCTTTAATGAAATCCGTTGCATAAGTGACATACATAATCACGGAGTGGCTCACAGGAATACCTGAGTGTCTTGTACATATTGTAACCTTCAATTATGTTTCAAGTGAGCTTAAGAAAAGTTTTAAAAACCCTATGGAATTGTGATCCAAGCTTGTGATCCTAACATGTGGGAAGGGGACTAAAAAGAACCAGGAGTTCAAGGTCATCCTCCGCCAAATAGCAATTTAGAGCCCTTGGTTATATAAGTCCCTGACTCGGGCTGGAGAGATGGCTCAGAGGTTAAGAGCACTGACTATTCTTCCAGAGGTCCTGAGTTCAATTCCCAGCAACCACATGGTGGCTCACAGCCATCTGTAATGAGATCTGGTACCCTCTTCTGGCCTGCAGGGACACATGCAGTACAGAACATTGTATGCATAATAAATAAATCTTCAAAAAAAAAA